CAGAGATATTTAAGGGAACCTAACATTTCTTAGTCCTTTTCTGGATTTTATTTTTAACCATGATTACAAAAGTAAGGTTGGAATGTTGAAATCTGTGATTATTGGTAATGTGAGGCTAGCTGATAGCAAACGTCTGACTGAAGAGTTGGAACAGCTAGAAAATTTAGTCTTGGAGAATAATTAGCCTTTGAGCTAATTGATAATAATCTATTTAATGAAGAATTAATTTTCCTATGGAGACTATTTAGTCGAGGATAGACAAACTGAGACTTTTTCTTAAGTCCTAATTTTGCCATCATGCCTCATTTCTAAGAAGATAAGCGATCCAGTAAGAAAGTGCGAGACTAAAACAGTCTTCAAATAGACCTTGACACTTTCTACGGTTATTTCATCCTTCATATCAGTGGTTCCCAAATTTTTCCTGGTCGCGGCGCCCTTTTTCAATTAAATTTTTTCCATGGCGCCATACCCTAAGTATTACTATTCGTAAGTAAGAGATAAAAAATTAAAACTCGTATATCTTTATTTTTAACTTTATTAACATTAAATTAATATTTAATAATTAAAGTGATGAATGAGCCTGCAAATCACTAAACATTTTCTCAAATTGAAGCTTTTACTATATTTCGCGGCGCCCCTGTAAAGAGGCTGCGTCTCCCCGAGGCGCCGCGGCGCACAGTTTGGGAATCACTGATCTAGATTAAAATATGACTTATTAGCAAGAATGGACTGTTACAAGATTGTGCCCCAGAAAATCGAAAACGTATTAAATTTTCAATAAATTGACTTCTAAGGCAAAATAGATCTAAATGTAAGAAGTTACAGAACATCTAATTAGACTCCTACATTTAACAATACAAATAAAAGTAGCAATACCAACAGAAAACCAAACAACTTGCAGAAAAAAAAGCTTAAATTTAGCTAAAAAAACTTACAAGGCTAGAAATTTAAAAAGCAATCGGTCGAAGACTCATTAAAAATGGGTAGGATAAAGTAAAACTAATTTAGCTTGATAGAGCAATAGAATAATTCAAAATACTGAAGATATTATTAAGCGAAAAAGACAACCTTACTTCCGTACGAGCGCGTCCCAATCAATGCAATCAAAGAACTGATGAGCCATCACATCAAGAGCATCTCTAGGGCCACCACCGAGACGAGTGTTTGGGTCTTTGGTAAGAAGTCCGGACAAAATGTCCCGAGCTTGAGAGCTTAAATGGGCAGGAAAAGTGAGACTCTCCTGATAAAACGGAAATAAGCGAAGAATGGATAGTTATTAATATACGGATTTGATAATCAAGTAGACATTTAGCATTCACATTCGAAAATAGCGTTTATAAAATTAAACTAAGAAAGTCCTTCATGTTAAGCCAAGAATTTCTTCAAGGACACATTAAGAGTGGATTGGTTTAGAGAAACTGCAAATACTATATTTGTAGTGATGCTATAAATATTGGAGAAGTCATTTGAAAAATAACCTTTATGAGGATCTGAGAAATGTATCTAATTAATCTTGATAGAATAAGATGGTGCCGAGTGCAAAGTGAACTAAGGAAACGAT